TACATCTAATACCTCACTATTTGATCGAAATGAGCGAGAGACCGTATATGTTTTTCATATTATTTACGCTTCAGTTAAAACGTTGAAAGGTCTTAATAGTTCATGCACGAGAGCGTTTCCTTTCGGAAGTGATCGAAGCGGTCTATTTTTGCGGATTTCCATACTTATTATGACTATCATGGAAACTTTGTTAACTTCTGTACTAAACATAAATAGCGAGGTTTAAATAACTAACCGTGAAGCTTTGACGCTGCTTTCGTTCTTGCATTTTATATTTGCTTTGTTAGTCAACTAAGTTTTCTTGATTACGCTCCGACGAAGGGCTAACGCTCGAAACGTCAGCTTTTGTAATCATTTCGGTGGCCAATTTACCATTTCAACTTTGTTGATATATCCAAATTATTTCGTTACTCCCACCGACGCAGCCCCGAACAGTTTCTTTCGAAACTATCAGCTTTTATTTCTTGATTACGGTTTCGAAACCTTGACGTCAAAGAGCCCTTACTGCGCGAAATCAATAATGTCCGCTGTATGCCGCCCCCGGGAATACTGTTGCTGCGGAAACAAACGGATGGGACCCCGGAAATTATATAAGCAAAGCTTGTTTAACAGCATCAGTGCCATTTTTGCAGCACTTTGTTGGCACAAGTTCATTACTTAGGAAAGTGAAAAAGTTCCGAAGTATCTCGCACTGTTTCCAACCATATTTGGATGAGATTTTATTGATCCAAGGTCAGCCATAACTTCATTTTACGAAAAAGACCACAAGGCTTTAAAGAATTATTTGGTTTCATTTTGATCATCTTCATTTGTTCTTTAATTATCTACATTCGGTGCTGGTTTAGTCTTCAACTATATTGGGTGGAATCCATGATCATGGCAGCAAGCACGAGATACCAGAAGCTTCTATGTAGAGAAGGTATTGTTCGATGACCTCGTCTTTTAACCTCCACAACACGATTGGCGATTTCTCTTTATCTTCCTCTAGATATGATGACTAACAATTTTAATTTGAAAATATTTTTGGAAGTGAACTAAACTGCAGAAATCAAACGCAAGATATCGTGAAAAGTTCTACCTGTAAATCCACGACATTGTGACAAAAATTTCTTGTCGAAACACTGAAGGAAAAAGGCTCTTTTTCTTATGTCTGAATGTGAAAGTCACTAAATGGTTGAACATTGAAAAGCCATGGTGGAAGTTTGCGAGGGGTTATTCCATCCAAATTAAAATTAAACTTCTTTTGTTGTCAAGCTTTCTCCGTTAATGATATATAATCTTATTTTTCAACTGTCCTTGGTAGAGTACAAATAACGCGCTAGATGAGGACAAATATCACGCGATATTTGTACTCCAGAAATGTCCGCGAAATTCGCCCGCACTGAAATAACAATTTGGCGTGTTGGATAATAAATCTCTTATTACATGATTTGTTGCGTAGTATCGCTGAGTATTTTTACTCGTTGTTTGTATTTTGACGAGCCCTAACTCGTAAAAATACACAGCGATACTACACAACAAAACGTCTAATAAGATATATATACATATTTGCTTTGACTAAGGTATTTAAATTCAGCCAATTAGACTTTGTACTTTGCCACTATGGAAACGATTTTCCCATTACGATTAAATTGAATTTTGAGTATTGAAGAAGGGTTCCCTAGTTTAATATGGAACATCGAAACTACACGCAGAAAAGCTGTCTGAAAACTATCACGAAGAAAACTTTTATCATCAGGAGACGATATAAAAGTCATAATGTTCTGCAATATCGGTCAAAACCAACTGCGTGGGTGGCTAAATTTCTATTTTAGAAACAATCTCGCACAAAAGAACCATGGATGTCATCATCATAGTTATGGTTACCAAATTGGATTTATCTCTTCGAGCAATCTATCAATTATTTTAAACTCCCTATTTAACCAAGAATAAATCGTGCTCGTTTAGTATGACAATAACATTTGAATGGCGTTAATGTTCTTCAGGAAATGAAAGAAAGCAATACCAAGTAGGCTGTGTGTAGGTCAGAATAGCCAATTTAACCCCAAAGCGCTATGCTGTGTTACGAATTACTGAATCTAAACAAAACATGTATTCCCAAAGCCTTGTAATTAAAAGATTACCCGCTTCAAAAATGACAAGAAAAGAGGAAAATGTGGTGTAATTGAGGCGTTAAAGTAAAATTTTAGCAACTAACGTATTCGCTGTTAAGGGATATCAATGATAGTACGACAAGATTGTATTTACGTTGTTAAATAACTTATCATTAGCTGAAAGATTCAAGCGGCTCGAACTTCGACTTGAGGACCTGATTAAAATCTAGTTCTGGAGGAACTCACCCTCTATCGAAAGTAACACTATTCTTTTGTGGTAAGATGGAAGTCTCTAGAAAAACAAGTTAAAAAAACTCCTTTCAAAATGCAAACAGTGACACAGGGCGATTGCGTGACGCAATTTTTTCCTCAAAAGAGCCTACATCATGTCCTTTGCACTTTTGTTTTAATTTCTCGACAAACATAATTTTCATCGATCACATTCCATTGGTTGGGGACACTTTGAGCATTACCTTCTCGAAGGTCTCTTGTATTCCAGACGAAATACGAGATGGGAACTTTTTCCTTCACCTTATTCTTTGTCATTTTCTACCCATTTGTTTTACTAAGAGAGAGGGGGGGAGCTGGGAGACAGACAGACAGACAGAAGGAAAGACAGACAGAGCTTTCCTTTTTCTTTTTTTCATTTAAGAAAAACTGTAGCGGCGCCTGTAACGGAATCATCTTTCTGGTTCCCGACCAATTTGCACTTATCCCAAGCTGAATTTTTTTAGCTAACCCGCATAACTTTTGCAAGAGTCCTTCTCTTGCTTTGTTGTGATGTTAATACTCATCCCAAAATTTTTCTTCAAAATGTCAACTTTCTGTATCTGTCTTTTTGGTTTTATCCTCAGATGCTTTACCAGTGTTTACTGGCTCCTCTGGAAGCGATGATTTTCGTGGTGGAGCAGAAGTTCGGTTCATATCCTTGGAAAACAAAACAGTGTTTGACAAAGTGCAATCACGGAGTGGAAACGTCGCCAAACAGCGCGTTTATGATGGAGTCATCCAGATGGAAGCGGTTTCCCCAGTTGGTCAGATCCTAAGCATTAGAACATGGGTTTTTCGAGAGCCAAAAGCTGCGGAACTCCACAAAGACCGAAACGGACCAGTGGAACTACAAGTTACATATGGACAACACAGTATAGAAAAGGTACTTTTTGTTGTTGTTAGTTTATGCAGCTTTTCTCTACTACCCTAGTGCCCTAGTACCCTAGTACCCTACTACCCTACTACCCTAGTGCCCGCAGTGTTCTTCTTTTGACTTCCTCCATGGCGTTTACATATCTTGGATGTTTCTATCATTTTGCATGAAGACGTTCAAAATCCTGCGGTTGTTGATTGCGGTGAGAATACTATTACAAGTGCATGCCTTTGGCTACTAGTTTCATTTCTATTCACGTGTACTGAGACAGACAGACAGTACTGTTTCGGCCTTCTGGGCCTCATCAGTGCAGTGCTAATGCTAGGATGGGGGAGAACCGAGACGGTCACCCCAAACGACCCAACCTTTGTGGTATCGTCTAAGCCATGCCAGAGTGCTCAAACTAGAGTAAACCAGCGAGCATGCGCAATATATATATATATATATATATATTGTGCACTTTAGGCAAACTAAAAGTTTCCAGTCGATTGAGTGCATGAACAGGTTACAGTTCTATCATTAAAAACAAGGACGGGTAGTTGCTTCCTCTCTGTTATTGCGGGGAAGAGACGAGCGCACATGAACTCAACACAACCTTTTAATGTCTCTCCCCTCGTGGTTCCTCTCTACATCTCATAATACTATGGACTAGTGTCCAATCTCCTAACACTCTCAATTGGTAGATATTTACCTTTTCGCGGATCACAGCCTGATAAATCCAGTTTAACTGGCTTTGATGAGAAACGAATAATGCAATTGCATCTTATAAAAGGGCCTCTTGTTGCAACGATCAGATCACCCCTGATGAAGGTACTACACAGGAGTGTCGAAACGTTGGGTCGATGAATTGTAATTTCGTTTACATTCATTAAATCTTTAAACAAGAGTAGCATCAAATCATGTCCAACTCCATCTTGTTCTTAAACGTGTCTCGTGCTGCCAGACACCTTTTCTATGCTGATTAACATACAATAATACTTTCTATGATATTTCTAGAATATCCTGACTATGGAAGGTACCAATAGTGATTTAAAAAAGATCTTAACAACACCAGGAACCGACGTGAACAGATCAGTCAAATCTTACGTCTTACCATTCATGCAAAACCTTATATGCGAACAAAGAGGATGATTGTTGCTAATAAATGTGGTTGTTTTATTCTTTCTGCTTGGTGTAGCTATTCTTCTCTGTGAACTTGGACTCCATTTACGATGGCCCCATTGCTCCAGTCTACGAGCTGGCCAAAGTAGAAATGGACAAAAGGAATCTTTTTCAACTTCTAGTTGAGCTGTCTTTTCATAATGGAGCAGAAGAAGAGACACAGTCTTTTTATAGTACGCCATTCTTGATTAGGAGCAGGCCCAGGAACAATCCGAACAAGCCAAAGCCTGGGACGAAAAGGCCGAGACCTGTTCCAGGTAACCTGAGAGTTCATAAATTATCTTGTTGTCTTAAATGTTAGCAAACGAAAGTTCACATGGTGTATTTTGATCATGATACTTGAGAGTTTGAAAATGTGCGCCAGGCACCGGTTACACGTCAGTGGTGGTGACAATTTTCTAAGCTGTAACGTTGTTTTGCATTTATTTGTGAATATTGAAGACTTGACGAGCGTTTGCCAAACTGCCCGTGCATGTGCTTCTAGCAAAGAAAGATACTACAAATGCTCTTCGTAAACAAATGAGCTAAACTCCCAATGCAACGCTTAATGAAGTTGTGAAACAGCTTCCACGCAATATCAATTAAAGGAAGTATTGTTTACTAAGCAAATTTGGGTCTTACAAGTCCTTTCTGGAGGGGAAGGATTTAATCAGGGTGTCAGGGTAGAGCAGAAATTGAATTAAAGAAGGGTGGGGAGGGGATAAAAGTAGTTAGTGGAAGCTTCCATTTAAGGTCAATCCCTTCAAGGTATTCTTTTCCATAAAATGTAAGCAAATCAAGGAACACCGTCGTCAAGGATAACCCCCGATGCTTCCTTTTACGTTTCTACCTAATGTAATTTACTAACAGTATGATTTAGTCAACTTATTTCTATTATGATGTCTTTATTTAACAGACAGCGCAGAAGAAGAAGGTTAGTGATCAAACTTCTGTTCATTGACCGATAAGTTAGAGAATGTTATTAAGGAGACCGAAGCGTAAGTATACGTGAATGAACAACCCTTCTCTACCCACGCGGTGAACTGAACCAGAAAACATTATGCGATGGAGCCGCCAAGTTAAAGCCGTCAGTGAAGAAAGCTATGTATGAGTGATAAAGATACATTGATAGATATAATTTTAAATTCGCTTCATACACCTTACTATTCATCTCTGCTTCGCCGATTAAGTTTAAAGGGGGAACGGCGCAAGATATGTCGTTTTCATCAAAACAAAGGTATAAGGCCACTTTGCATACATTTTATACGGCTGGTAACCGTTTTTTTTATTATAATATCCACCAGCTAAAACTGTTTTTTTTTTACTCTTTTTTGCTTTGCAGACTCTTCTGGTCATTACAGTCCAGACAGTTCTGTTAGCATGGCAGGTAAGAAAGTTGTTGTGAATAATCTAAAGGTAAATTAAAATGCCTCGATGAACGTGGTTACCCTGTTTCTGTCGTTCAAGCGGGTTTCCACCGCGCCCAACTTATTGATCGACATTCAGCACTACAAACGTCGCATAAGGAAGATTCCGACCGCATTCCTTTCACTTTCACCCTCACAACCACTCAGTTAAATCCATCATTCTTAAAAACTTTAAATTACTTCAAAACGATCCAGAGACAAGCACTATCTTTTCGCAGCCTCCGCTCATTTCATTCAAACGCGACAAAAACATAGGCAATTTTTTGGTCAGAAGTTCTTTTCAGACTAATGACCAACCAGGCACTTTTAAATGCGCTCGTGCACGATGCAAAACGTGTCCTTTCATTCACAACACTGATAAAATATCGGGACCTAAACGATCCATTAAGATCACCGATCACTTCACGTGCACCTCCGCCAATGTAATCTATTGCATAACTTGCACTTATTGCAAAAAGATATACATCGGCGAAACAGGCAGAAGACTAGGTGACCGATTCCGAGAACACCTTCGAGACGTGGAAAGGAATGACAAGGACACATCGAAACCAGTCGCTAGACATTTTAATTTACCTAATCATTCTAAGCAACATATGGCAATCTGCGGTCTTTCCTTNGTTTGTGTGTGTGTGTGTGTGTGTGTGTGTGTGTGTACATACCCTTTTTTAACCCAAAATAAGAGGGACCCGGACCACTCCCCTAGATCCGCCGTGTGGCCAAATGGTTAGGAGTGGCCCCGGGTTCAAGCTGTTCACCCTACTACCTACTGGATGCATTCTTCAAGTAGTTGCCCACAGTTCAACTCCTTGGCTGCACTTTGTATATAGCCAACTGACCTCCCTCCAGCCAGTTGGAGTTTTTAAACACTTCGTCTTCAAAAGCCCTATTAGGGGAGTTGTCATTTAAGTCTACGAACAAACACACATCAGTTGATGGATTCATCGATTAATCAATGTCATGGTTGGTGCCTTTTAAGGTCGATCTTTGAATGGATTGACTGATTTTGGCCAATCGTTTTCTTATCTAGCTTTCTCAGCATGATTTAATTTCTCTTACTCAGTGATGTGCGTGATGGGGTGCAGTATAATCGTTTTGCTCGTTTTGGTTGCTGTTTTTATGTACGAGTACTTATATCCAGGAAGTGCATTACGATACTGGATATGCAAGCAAGGCTCCATTCCAGGTCACATGGCTTACTTTAGATATATTCCCTCAAGCCAAATACATCAGGTATGTAAGTAAATGAAGGGGGTAAGTCTATGGAGAAACTGTGGTGCTGTGTCGATAATTTGGTTTGGTAAACTGAGTGATGTGGCCACCGTAACGAGTTCCTAAAGCTGACTTTTCGAGCGTTAGCCCTTCAAGCCTCAGCTTTTTTCTCTGACGTAGTGCGAAAGCTCGAAAACTCAGCTTTAGAAACTAGCTATTTAGGACGGCTAATTTACATTATTATTATTATACATTGTAGTCACCATCTGTCTTCTCAATGGTTAAACGCCTACAGTTAATTCTGGGAAACAGAGCAACCTACAGATTAGTGAATAATCTGTAGGTTGCGCGCGCAATGCATGATTTCCGGTGGAGCAATGTCAAGTTCACGGACAGTGAAGTAAGAATGGCTTCTCGATTCGCTTCATCGACCCAGCGAGAAATTGAGAAATTAATTGAAGATAAAAATTCGGAAAATACTAAAAGACTGTGTAATAAAACAATTATTGGATGAGGTTTTTGTGATATCCGGAATAATCAAGATCTCGGTTAGTGTTATCAGCCGAAGCATTCGGCTTCGGCTGATAACACCTATCTCGACCTTGATAATTCCGAATATCACAAAAACCTCATCCAATAATTGTTTATAAACGGTTAATATACTCAAATTACCTAAGAAGTAATTTTATCGGTGCAAGTAATGAAACTCAATTAAAAAAAGAACGGCTTGAGTAAAAAAAAAATTGCAAGTAACTATTTATGGTCTGTTAGATGGGTGCTCTGAAATGAAAAGATCTGGTTTCTGGTTCTGATTGAAGAATAATTCCTGTCTGTTCAGTTCGGGAGCAAGGTAGTCTTCATTCTCACAGAACCTCCCTATCGGTAAACTGACGAAATGCTTGGACTAGCTCCCAGTAAAAGTCATTTTATACCGTTTGTTTATGCTGTTAGATCGGAGTCACATGAGTAATCATGGTCTTAAGAACATTTTCCTACCCTCTTAGTTTAGACACCATAATCCTTTTCGTAGTGGAATGTATTAGAGTTGAATATCAAAGCAGATTAAGGCGCCAGCGTCAGCATGGTCACTAAAAGTGTATGGGGAGTTTTAGACATAACAAAAGTATTTTGTGTTGACGAAGACAATTATAAATACACGCAGCGATGTGATAATGAAACGATTCAATTTAAGGTCGTATAACTAAGCATTACATGATAACAGGGTAAACAAGATCAAAACAGGCAAGATGCGAAAAGAAGCCCTCAAATATAACAAGAGAACTCAAAGCCAGTCAAAAATGTTAACTGTCCTCCAGCGAGTTTAAACGAGATCGAGCCAGTCGCGATGGGTTAAATGTTGGCGTGAAACTGATTGGTTAAAGTGATAATACGAATTTCGCAGACCAAGCACAGAAAGTGGTGAAGCAAAACTAAGAAAATAAAATGGATTGCAGCACACGTGAACTATCGTAATACATCCAATTGCAATTGCAGCGTTGTGATGTCAGTGGTCTTGAATTCACTTGGGATGGACTTCAACAAAAGATGTCGCCGCATTTGGAAGGTATTCTTCCAATGAATTCCACAGGTAAGTTCACCCGTGGCATCACCTGTGTAAGGCCTGGCTTGAGTTTTAAGTTTCGTTAAAGGCGGTTTCATACGTAAATCAGTTTAGGACAAGGAACCTTCATTCAATCTTTGTAAATACAAGGAAAACGGATCGATAGAAATATAATTTTCCAAACCGGTAAGATAACTCTAGTCCAAGTTAAACAAGTTTAAATTTCTTGAGTTGCTTTTTTTTCTGTATACAAAAAGAAAGTAGAAATACCCTGGGAGAAATTGCTATTGGGTTAACCCACCTTAAGGCGATGAAGACGGTATCTCTTAACTCATGAGTATTTTCAATGGAGGTGTAGGAGTGAGTCATTCTGAAAGTCGTAAGCCTCATGGCCTCTGCCACGGCTTTCATCATTGAATATAGGGGGTAAGTTTCTAAAGAAACTGTGGTGCTCTTCGGTTGGGGTAATAAGGTAATTTGGCTTTTATCAACCGGGCTGATAACGTGGATTGGCCACTGCAAAGGTCAACAGCTGATGTTTCGAGGGTGTCGCATTGACGAAGAGTTAACGCTCAAATTGTCAGCTCTGGAAATCCTTTGTGGTCACGGTGGCCAACTTAGATTATCAACTCAGTTGATAAAAGCAATTTATCTTTTACCATTGGATCAACTACCATTTAATATGATAAATAACCCATTTGATTTATCAATATGATTTCAGCGGTACCCGGAAAACACCACTACTATTTAAATTGGGATCGATGCGCCCATGGTGGAGCAAACAAGCTGTCTGCTCGAGTTCAAGGAATTTCTAACAACAAACAGATTTGTGGGCCGATTATTTTCTCTGCAAACTTTAATTGCTCTGCTGTTTACTACTACCAGGATGCGCCTCACAAAGGCTGGAAGATGTATAAGTCAGTGGAGTATTATTCAGAGCTGCATAAATATCTTAAATGCACACCTGCAGAGGACTTTAAATAATTACCGTCAGCTTTGCAAAAACCAAAAAAATAAGTTTGGTAAATCATGCGCAGTTTTTTTTCAATTAAGTTCAGAAAACATCAAACCAAAGTTATCACAACTATCAATCAGAACAAAGATAAGCATAATCTTTAACCGACGAGAGCTCGATTTAAAAACAGGCAACCTGCTTAAAGCGCGGGAAAACGCAGGTAACCAAGTAATCCGGGATTATCCTTGACACTCAGTTGAAAGACCTTCAGAACAAAACAAATAATTATGTAAAGATGAAACTAAAGAGGAAGAAGAATAGCTCAGGATGGAGACTTTTGACGTAGGCTGCAGATGAACAATTTGTAAATAATAAGGGTAAATTTTTAAAGATTAACAGACCGTGTCGTATACCCTTTAAACGAGAATTAGTGCTCTAGAGAACATTTACTTTGCTCTCCGCTGATTATAAACAGCTAAGGAAACGATTAGGACGTAGACTGCGTTTTAAAATTCTAAAATGTGACCCTAGCTTTCGAAAATTGTCTTTAAATGCCCTGAAAATTTGACTTCGGACGCCGCTATGTTTTGAAGACGAGAAGTGGTTAACTTTTGTTAAGTACTTTTTGATAATATAGATAAGAATTACACTATTTATGGGGCATACAATGAAACATCTCCTTTGAGATTGGAGCTAAAATGTGATTGACCCATACATTCCATGTTATTTATCTTTCAAGCCGGTGATGATAATTCGACAATTCCATGGAAAAATATTTATGTTCAGGAGTTTATTTTTTAATTTTTTTTCCAACTTTCTTGGGTTAGCCATTAAGATTTTTGCGAGCATTGCTACTTTTTATCAAAGCTGATATCGTTGAAGGCCTTGTATTCCTGAGAATTTTATCCTTCATGAAATGGTAGATGAGTTTTGGTAGTGGTCCTTGAGTTTTACATCTAGTTGGAAACAAAGAATATACAAGAGTTCGATTCGCCCTGGCGTTAGGTAGTGATTCGATTCAAGTTGAAGTACTTAGGTAGATAGCTTTCCTTGACCTTCAGGATTTCAGGAGACAGTTTTGATTCTCGGTTCCTTCTGCATATCGCAGCTTAAAACTTAATGTTTTTGCGCTCAAGAACTAGTTCTTAATGAGAAGAAATATTGTTTCCTTCTGCATTCTGTGATCTGATTGACTGGGATATTGGTAATTTTGGTACCTACATACTTATACAGCGTGCTTTTTAGATTTTCGTAGACAGAAAAAACAGTCACGGTAACATATGAGTAGATAGGTGATACTGAGCGCAGATTATGCGCGTTGATATTTAAAAGATCAAGGAGTCTGCCGTTCTTCGTATGAAACAACCACTTTACTTTGTTTTCTTTCGAAGACTTATTAATTTCATTCAGTGGGAAACGGAATGTTGTAAGGAATTTTTTTGAAAACGTGATAGCTATGTTCATCTATGTCTAAAGCATCTTGTGATTATTCTGTCATTTCGAGTTTTGAATAAACCAATAAAATCATACTTTGGTAATAAAGTGTATAGAAACGCTTCACTCCCAGACGAATTGTCTCCATTTCCTATTAATCATGAACCTACAACTTTCTGATGACTTAAAGGATGGCGCTAAAAAAGTACAATGACCCTTTTTTGGTGGCACTAATGTTTAAACCTACAATTGATGGGCTTTTAAGGATATTGACTACAGCCAAGAGCTCATTTCGGCAGTGGGCTCCCGGCTCTCGTTAATCGAAGGCAGCAGTGAACTATGAAAGGAAGAAAAGGGGAAAAAATTAATTGCATTTTTCTTTAAAGGAGAATGTCAAACAGAGGAAATCATGCCTCTCCTTGAGTATTCGAACCAAATCCAGTTTCTTCGCATTTTTGACGCGTGACTCGCAATATCAAGCCATGGTCACGCTCGCAAATGTTGCTGATCTTGATATGCCGTCTCTTCCAGTGCTCTGATAAGTGTGAGCTGAGGAAGGAAACAAACTGATTGTAATTGAGCACTGGGTTGCAGACACGAAAGAATGTTTTCCAATCGCATCCAGTATGTAAGTTAATATCGTTTGGCTAGTAAGCAATCCTTAGCCAAGCCTAGCCAGGTTTAAAGTTACAATTTGTCACATGGCTTTCATGAGATTAAGGTCTGTGTAACCAAAGCAACAAGGCAGGAAGTTAAAAGCCTCGTTTCAGAGCAGAAGGGGAAACCCAAATATAGCTCAAAGTTACAAAATACATAGTTCGTCGATACAGCAGAGATTTTTTGGTTGTTAAGATTCCTGTTTGGTAAAAGCAGTCGATTGGCGGTTGACAAAGAAGCTGCAAATCTTTCGCTTTTGTCAGAAAACAAGGAAGAGTGAGGCTCGTAGACAAACATGAACGGTAATGGAAGACAAGAAGACCTTGAAGAACTGACACAGCCTCTCCTACCCGGTGGAGACGACGATCAGTTTGGTAAGTAATCTCATTGTTTACCAACACTATGATCGTGTCTACCAGCTGTATTTCCTTATTACTTAATAGTAGCTTGTGAGGCACCACCTTCTGCGCGTGAAAGCTAGATCGATGATTTTAAAGCAATCGGTACTTTTGCGCCTTTGACGTGTTGTACTCTCACGCTTGTGATAAGTTACTAGTTGTTTGAAAACAGGCTTACTAAGGTTCAATGTATAATGCACAAGGCCTCACTCGCATCAGCAAACGAAATGTAGTAACGGGCTTAAACATGTCTTTGTTTAATGTGGAGACGGACAGCTAACGATTCAGCGCAGGCTTCCGGCTTCGAAAACGACGACTAATTCAGTTTGAATGTTTGGGTCACTGTCACGGCTCAGTTGCTCAATGCATTTTGAACTAATTATAATTCTATCAGTTTGTTCAGAAGCCAGAACAAGATTTATTTTCGTATCATTATTCAGGCAGTTGATTATGGTCAGATATCGCATGAATTGCGCCTTCAGTTTGTGCTACATCTGGGGGATCGATTGATTACTGCTCGTCGATATTTTACAATTTGCATATAACACGGACTATAAACTTTGAAAATTACGTCATGGATTTCCTATCATTCATTCTTCTTCTTTTCGTTTTTTTTTTTTAAAAATCAAATTCGCATCCTATAATCTCAGCAAAATACAAAAGGAATATTCTCCCGTTCAAGAATTCATGCATTGTCCACAATAATGTTTAATTCACGGTTTGAGAATCTATATCAAATCGTGTGCATTTCAACAATCTAATACGAACGAACAATAAATCGCATCAAGTGCTCCGAATAAGTCTGTAGCAAAATTTTAATAAAAAATTCTGTTTCTTGTTTTTCACCAACCTTATGTGCAAACTCCCCACCAAACAAATATGCATGGTTGGATTTACATTTCATTTTAAAAGATTAAGTTGCTCTCTTTCTTCTCCGTCGCTTCCATCTGATTAATGCAACTCTCGTCCATATTGCAACGATTGATTTGAACAAAATTAAGCGAAACTACTAAACATGATAAACTTACCGTGATGCAAACTTTGAATTAGGATTCTTGTTTCATTTGGCATGCCTGGAGAGGTTGTCGTCTGTTCAAGCGTTCGAGGCCTGATAAAGAAAAATGTAAAAACTAATTCAACTCAGTCTAGAATCAGTTACATTCAGTGAAGATCTCCTATGGGCCCTGAAGGTGAGCTCTTATCCTCACAGATAGGCAGAAGTGTGCCCTAAACGGTGACTCGAGAGCTAAAATATTTTAAACCATACCTTTATGCACGGATGTTACTAAAACTAGTAACGGAGAACGGGGAATGGGGAACGGGGAATGGGTGTACAGCGGTAACCCACCTGAGAATTCAGAATGGCGGAGTAAACGATGTCGCTAGGTCGCCGCTTGCAGAGAAATTAGACGACTCGCTTTTATCTAACTATTGCCCAGGCGAAGCCACGAAGCCTAGTATTCCGAGGCGAGAATTCGAAGTCAACATTTCTGCAATGGCTGCCACCATTTGTTCTGACGTCTCTCTTTGTTTAATTTTTCCTTCCTGAAATCTGCATCTTTTGGCAGAGTTTGGGTGTGTTGCTTGTTTGCATTTCCCAACAGCATTTTTTGCAGATAAGTAGCAAGGAGGTAATATCTTAGATTAACAGAAATGAGCTAGGAAACGTAATAACCAGCCTAGTTATTAAAATTACTACATGCAGATATCTGCTTACCTTACCGCAAAATAACATCAGGAACACATCTTTGTATCGACCCATAAAT